ACAGATTAAGATAGATAGATAGATAGATAGATAGATAGATAGATAGATAGATAATAAAGACTGCGATAGATAGATAGATAGAGAGATAGATAGATAGATAGATAGATAGATAGATAGATAGATAGATAGATAGATAGATGTAAACACATTGAGATAGATAGATAGATAGATAGATAGAAAGATAGATAATAAAGACTACGATAGATAGATAGATTTAAACAGATTAGGATAGATAGATAGATAGATAGATAGATAGATAGATAGATAGATAGATAGATAGATTTTAACAGGTTGGGGTAGATATGAACAGATTAGTATAGATAGATTTTAACAGATGAAAGTAGATACATATGAACAGATTGGTATAGATAGATAGATAGATGCGTAATTAAGAGATAGATAGATAGATAGATAGATATGAACAGACTAGAATATATATATATATATATATATATATATATATATATATATATATATATATATGTGTGTGTGTGTGTGTGTGTGTGTGTGTGTGTCTGTGCATTTAAATTTTTAGGTAGAATATATCTGAAAAATATGAATTTACACACACACTCAGACAGATATATATATATATATATATATATAGATGTAAACACATTGAGATAGATAGATAGATAGATAATAAAGACTGCGATAGATAGATAGATAGATAGATAGATAGATAGATAGATAGATAGATAATAAAGACTGCGATAGATAGATAGATAGATAGATAGATAGATAGATAGATAGATAGATAGATAGATAGATTTAAACAGATTAGGATAGATAGATAGATAGATAGATAGATAGATAGATAGATAGATAGATAGATAGATAATAAAGACTGCGATAGATAGATAGATAGATAGATAGATAGATAGATAGATAGATAGATAGATAGATAGATTTAAAACAGATTAGGATAGATAGATAGATAGATAGATAGATAGATAGATAGATAGATAGATGTAAACATTGAAATAGATAGATAGATAGATAGATAGATAGATAGATAGATAGATAGATAGATAGATAGATTTAAACAGATTAAGATAGATAGATAGATAGATAGATAGATAGATAGATAGATGATAAATAAAGACTGCGATAGATAGATAGATAGAGAGATAGATAGATAGATGTAAACACAGTGAGATAGATAGATAGATAGATAGATAGATAGATAGATAGATAGATAGATGTAAACACATTGAGATAGATAGATAGATAGATAGATAGATAGATAGAAAGATAGATAATAAAGACTACGATAGATAGATAGATTTAAACAGATTAGGATAGATAGATAGATAGATAGATAGATAGATAGATAGATAGATAGATAGATAGATTTTAACAGATGAAAGTAGATACATATGAACAGATTGGTATAGATAGATAGATAGATGCGTAATTAAGAGATAGATAGATAGATAGATAGATATGAACAGACTAGAATATATGTATATATATATATATATATATATATATATATATATATATATATATGTGTGTGTGTGTGTGTGTGTGTCTGTGCATTTAAATTTTTTAGGTAGAGTATATCTGAAAAAAATATGAATTTACACACACACAGACAGATATATATATATATATGTGTGTGTGTGTGTGTGTGTGTGTGTGTGTGTGTGTGTGTGTGTGTGTGTGTGTGTGTGTGTGTGTGTGTGTAACATACTGTCTCGAAAAACCCTCGAATTTTTGATTTGCCAATAATCAAATCAATCTCGAAGGAAAAAAAAGGTTTTAAAAAAAGAAAGAGCTAAAAACATGAAAGTCTGTCGAAAAAATCGCACAGATGCAGGTTTGAAGCCCAAAGAAAAAAAACCCGATACGAGTAAACAAATAACTAACAAAAGAACTCAATACAACCGTAGAGCAGACCTAGTCAAACCTAGTGAGCCAGGCAAGCGTACCCAGGTTCCATCTAAGGGGATCGCCAGGGAAAGCTGGCTAAATAGGCAAAAGAGAAACGGCATAATTATAGGCAATAATCAAAACTATACCACGTGACCAAAGAAAAAAGAAGAAAAGAAGAAAAAAAAACACAACACCGGGGGGTGGTTGTTAATGATTTATTCAAACAACTAAAAGGGGAGGGGATAACAAGATAATAGAAAAAAAATAATAAAAAAAAAGACAAGAAAAACCATAACTACGGGGGGGGGGTAATGATTTATTCAAAACTATATATATATATATATATATATATATAAGATGACCTGAAAATTCCGCATGAAGCAGACTGTATACATATACTTTCCCAAGTATACAAGTGGGTAAATTTGTCTTTGCTCGACAATGTTTATTATTTTCGAAAGCGATAATTAGAATTGTAATAAATGTTAAACATTAATTTTTTCTTCATCGGAATTTACAACAAAAATAGTAAGCCCGGTTTGTTTATATAACTTTAAGTCATAACTTTATATTCACAACATTCTAAAATATAATACAATGAAAACTAATGCAATGCAATTTTTATCATTTACCAATTTATAAAGAAATAAATATGAAAACATTTCCTTATTCGTAAACTTACAAACATTTACTAATTTATTAAAAGACGAGAATCAACTATAAAAAATTCCTTATTATTTACCATTTTATAAAGTTAGAATCAGTTGGGAATTAGCCTATGTCTTGCTAACCATTCTAATAAAGAATCTAATAAATAAATAATGTTTACTATTTTTGTTTTCAGTTCTCAAGAACAAAGAAAATGTGCAAATTCATCTTCATAAGATTATTATTATTATTATTATTATTATTATTTTTACAATTCTAATCATCGCTTTTTAAAACCATAAATATTACTGAGGAGTGGTGGTAGTTAAAATACTAACGGTGTCAATGGAAAAAAATCGTCCTTTTTTCAAACCGTTTTGTTTGCATGCATGAAGATCCAAGTTTGCCTACAAATGTATGTATGGAACAGGAATATGGTCAAAGAATCAACGCTGCAGGTCACATTGAGTTCTTCAGAATATATACAGTCGAAGTCCTCATTTCCGAACTTCAGAGTAATTCGGATATGAGGACGTGTTCGGATATAATGTGGCAGGTGTAATATAACGCTAACTTAACAAAATACAAGAATTTATAGCAATATATGAAAAATTGTCTCAATAAATTTTATTTCCAGTTGCCATTTTTTTAATTTTTTTTTTTTTCATACATTTCGCTGCCTTATTTTTTAAAGTAAGGCATTTCTACAATTAGTGATTTTCCAAGCGTAGCTTAGATGTGGCACAAGGCCGAAATTATGGGGCATCCAGTAAGGATCGAACTCACTTCTCAGCCGTAATGCTTCTAGCGAGACAAGCTTACAAACCATTACACCGCCTCGAGATGCCCCAAATTATTTTCTAAGCTTAGCTTAGATGTTGCACAAGGCCGAAAGTATGGGGCACCCAGTGAGGATAGAACTCACTATTTACTCGTAAACGTTTTAGCAAGACAAGCTTGCTAACCATTACACCACACTGGGGCACGACTGCAAATCACGTGCACTTCTATATTCTGACTACAGAAGAAAGATTTTTTTCCATGAATTTGCTGACCACATCAACAGCTATTTCTACTGAGTCCTAGTTTTCTTTATCCTTCATATTTTCACCATCATCGGAAGAATTTTATTCCTCCTCCATTTCTTGACAAATCATTTTGAAGAGATTCTACCGTTCTAATCCATTAGCGTCTTCATTTATTCATTCTTTTAAGTCATCCGAAGTGAAAAGTATTCAGTGGATCATCTTCAAGCGTAGGTTTTAGCGCTTCGTTCAGATTCTTCAATCCTTGATTGTTAATTTGCAAATTCAAAGAATTATGATGATTCTTCCAGTTTTTCAATAATCTTTAATTTCTGAGGTAACGTGAAAGAATTTTTTTTTTCCTTTTTCTTCCAATTGAAGTTACTTCTCTCGTAGAGGACATTATCGGTTGAGAAATTTCAAGTTACTAACAATTATCCGCAAAGAAATGAAAAATATTAGAATGCACCATATTCCTCCAACATCTAAATGACAACACTGAGACGCTCGGATATGAAGACGTTCAGATATAAAGATTTCTACTATATGGTCAATATATATATATAAATATATATATATATATATATATATATATATATATATATATATATATATTGACCACTAATACTGACTATATATATATATATATATATATATATATATTATCGATATAAAAATATTAAGATGTAGCATATTCCGACAACATCTAAAAAGGCAACACTGAGATGTTTTTGATATGAGGACGTAGATATGAAGATATTCTTATATATATATATATATATATATATATATATATATATATATATTCACATAGTTCAATACACACACACACACACACACACACACACACACACACACACACACACACACACACACACACACACACACATATATATATATATATATATATATATATATATATATACATAAATTCCCAAGAAGATAGAATCCAGGTAGAACTCAATGTCCAGGACAGAGTAAGAATATATAATATAAAGGCTCAAAACACTAATATTCCACGGAATATTAGTGTTTGAGCCTTTCTTATATATATATATATATATATATATATATATATATATATATATATAGTGGAAAAAAGGTTTGACAAAGTGAAAAAGTTTTCGTGTGACGCAGTTCATTGGACGAAGTTTGTGTTAAGTCTGAGGCCCTGTAGAAAGATAAATTGAGGTATAACATCACCATCCTTAGTGATCACTCCAAACACCTTCGTAATCACCATTAGATTCATACAACTCATTTGAAATCTTCTGCACTCTCTTCAGATTGACCCTCTGAAATGTTTGTATTGGAGATTCCGGCACGAATGCCAAGAACTACAGTATGCCGCTTCCAAATTTCTAGTGGAGTGAATTGCGTCATAGTGCTCTTTTTCTCACAGACGATGCACAACTGAGCCTAACTCAACAAAATCAAAACTAACCAACGCGCATGCGCGAAATTAAAAATGGCGACAATTTTACCCTTCGCACCCGTATATTTCTATATAGGCAGAAGAAGTAAAACATAGGGTGCCTGTGTATGTAGGATGAAAAAGAAAATATAATGTATAACCTCGTTTATTTTATATTTCTTTCAAATTTTTGTGTTTCGGGTTTCTTTATTCCTTTCTTTATACAATTCTTCCACTTTATTAGGCTTTCTTTCTTTTTCTTTTCAAATTTTAAACATATCTTTCTCTTCTTCCTTTTTTTCATTCATCCACTCTTTAAATAATTATTTTTATTTATCTTTCCTCACAATTTATTTATTAAAGTTAAGGCTTTTTTCTTCCCATTTTATCTGTCCTTAATTTTTGCCAAATTTTCCTTATTGTTTCAATCATCCTTATTTTTGTTGACAATTTCAAAATGTCTTCCAACAACTTATAAATCCTTTTCCACTAATTCCCCACCCCGCTTTTTTTTTTTTTTTTTTTTTTTTCGTTTTCTTTTGCACTTTCTTTTAATTCTTATCATCAGCATCTTTCATTTTTTTTGTCTTTAACTGATTTCATCGCCGGTGTTTTGATCGGGGACATTGCTTTTCATCTTCCTTTGCTTCGTTTTTCTTGATCCCTTCATTTTTCAATAAACTTTTAAGCATCCATAAATTCTAGCTTTTTACTATTTCTTCTTTTTTTCTTCTTCTTCATCGTCTTCGTCTTCTTGTTTCTCTTTTCTTCTTCTTGTTCTTCTTCGCTTTCTTCTACTTCTTTCTTGTTGTTGCTGTCGCTCTTCTTCTTCTTCACCTCCTCCGCCTCTTTTTCTTTTTCTTTCTTTCTTTCTTTCTTTCTTTCTTTCTTTCTTCTTCTTCTTCTTCAGGACTTTTCATCTTTCTTCCCTTTCCCAACTTCCCCTTCCTCCACCTCCCCTTCCTCCTTCATTTCTAACCCTTATTTCTTTTTATCTTCTTATTTCTGACTCCTCCTCCTCCTCCTTCTTTTTCTCTTATTTTACTTTTCCTTCTTTCTTTTTCTTTCTTTTCTTCCTATTTCTTCGTCCTCTTTTCTCTTTCCCGTCTTTTTCCTTTACTTCTCCTTTCTTTTTTCCTTCTTCTTTCTTATCTTGGGCTTCATTCGCCACTTCTTCCTCCTCATTCTTCTTTTACTTTTTCTTCTTTACTATCTTCGTCATTTTATTCTTCTTTAATCTTCTTCCTTTTTTTCATGGTTTTCTTCTCTTTTCCAACTTCTTCATCCTCCTTCTTTTCAAACTGCATTTACTTCTTCTCTATCTTCTTTTTTTCTAACTTTTTCTTCTTCCCTAGTCTCTTACTTTCTCTCGTATCCATCTTCCTCTTCCTACTCCTCATCTCGTCCTCCTCCTTCTTTCTTAATCTTTTTCTTTTTCTCATCCTTTTACTCTTATTTTTCTTCTTCTCTCTTTATTCCTTCTTTTCACCCTATTTCCGCCCCCCCGCCTCATTTCCATGTTCTTCTTCCTTTACTTCTCTTTTTCTATTTCCTTCTTTTTCTTCCTATCGTCCACTGCATCCTACCCTCCTCTATTTTCTTTCTGGAAACGACCATCCAAATAGGAAAACGTTCCCTTAATTTTCCAACAATTAAAAGGATGAAAAGATAATTTCGCAAATAAAATAATTTATCACCATCTTCAAAATAAAAAGACAATTTCATGAATTACAAAGAATCGGTTCTACGAAATCTTTCAGTCTTACAAAATAGTTTCTTAAAATATTTAACTCTGAAGATTTAATCTTTTTTCGTTCGTTCCAGTTTAAAAAGAAAAAAAAATGAAAAATAAGAAAGATTTTTCTGATTCTGACAATGAAGGATTCAATAAAATTCTTCTTCTTTTCGTTAAATAGTTTCTTCTTCTTCTTCTTCTTCTTCCTTTGAAGTTTTTTTTTTCTTCTTCTTCTTTTGAAGTTTCTTCTTCTTTTTACTCCTCCTCCTCCTTTAATTTTTTTTATTCATCTTCTTTTTCTCTTCCTCCTCTTCCTTGGCTGACCATCCTCCTCATCCTCCTCCTTCTTCTTCTTCTTCTTCTTCTTCTTTGTTGTCGTCTTCTTCTTTGTAGTCTTCTTCCTCCTCCTTCTCTTCTTTCTTTGCAATCCTTTCTTCTCCTCCTTCTCATTTGCTGTTTTTACACCTACTTTTCTTCCTCCTTCTCCCCTCCTCATTTTCTGTCTTCTTCTTCTTTTTTGTAGTCTTCTTCTTCTTCTTCTTCTTCTTCTTCTTCTTCTTCTTTGTAGTCTTCTTTTTCCTCCTCCTCATTTGAAGTTTTTTCACCTACTCTTCCTCCTCCTTCTTCCCTCCTCATTTGCTGTCTTCTTCTTTTTCTTCTTCTTTGCAGTCTCTTTCGAATTGCAACCTCTCTGCAAGACCAATACCTTCCCTCGCCTCTTTCTCTTCGCTACTTCCCTCCTTCCCAACTTCCCACCTTCCACTGCAACACACCGGGAAGCAAGGCGCTCCTTTCGATGACGTCATCGACAATGAAAATTGAGAGTAAAAAAAAACTGATTGGTGTCAAGGAAGGGGTAAAGAGAGAGTGGGAGGAAAGAGTGTGAGAACGAAGATGAGACAAACTAATGTGTCAGTGTGCGCATGCGCATTGGTGCCCATTGTGGCGTGCGCGCGCTTTTCTATCTACGTACGTCATGCGTAGCTGTTTTAAATTTGTGTGTCAATGTCTGCATAAGCATGCCAATGCGTGCGCGTGACCCTGTGTGTGTTTGCATGTGCGCGGGCGCGCACGTTCGCGTGTGTGTTTTGTGTGTGTGTGTGTGTGTGTGTGTGTGTGTGTGTGTGCCCGCCCGCTTGTGTGTGCCTGTTCGAGGAAATTTGATGTGTTTTATTTTTCGCAAGCAAATGCCTGCTTCTTATGGATGGATGGATGTCTTCGGTTACATTTTTTTCTGATTGCCTCCCGTTATTCCGTGTTCTTTTTTCCTACTGAAGACGTATAAACATACATACATACATACATACATACATACATATATATATATATATATATATATATATATATATATATATAAATGTTATTTTTAAATGGATACTCCTATTTGTGTAGAAGCTTCCTTGATTTATTAAACAGTATATTTCCTTATTTTCACCTACCGGCCTGAATGTTCAAAGATATTAAATCTTTCCTTAACAAGATTTCTTGAATAATGAACCTTTTAAAATATATCAATAAACCTTCATATTTCAATATCGTATACAGGAGGACAGACATTACCTAACAGTTTACTACACTTTTCCTTGTTTCTAAAGAACTGTTTTTTTCTATTTCTTAATACTCTGCTAAACTTTTCGAATGCATCTTTAGCTGCCATCCCAAAACGCCTTCGGATTTCAATGTCACACTTTCCGTAGTCTGTTAAAAAATTTCTAGATATCTAAATTTTTAGTATTTCGATTTGCAGTTCGCACTTACGGCTCATCCTGTTGCTAACAGCGATGCATTTTGTCTTCTTTCATTTGACCTTTAGTCCTTTCTTCTCGCTTTCCTTCACTAATTTCTGTAGGAGATTTTGTCGTTTTCTTTCGGTGTCTGCTATCAACACTGTGTCATCTGCATATCTTATGTTGAGATTATGGCCGTCAATAATGAATCTTCATAGGACTCCAAATTCTCTCAGAATGGGCTCGCTGTATAGGTTGAATAAGTCCGATTGTCTTATACCTCCTTCATTGCAATAAAAGTTTCTTTAACAAGATAATTTCAGCGTGTAAAATGTGTTTTGTATGGGGGAATCTAGGTCTCCGAAGAGACACATGTCTAAAACTAGTTCTATGAATTAACTTTTCAGTACTGCCACCAATGTGTGTGTAAATATTAATGGGTAAATGAACGACAGTCTTTTTTTCTGTGAAAAGGATGACTAGACGCCTTTTTCTTCTATGTAAAAGGTCACTTCAGGACGTAAGCGATCAAGGCTCACCACAACTTCTATTCTCTTGTGGCCCAGTTTTTCTCCCTTTGCTAAAGCTCCTCCTATATCCCCATTTCGTCATCCATTAACACAAGCTGGTCAGGTAAGTGGATCACCGCTTTTCCCTGTCTATCTTGCCCTAAATATGTGAGTGCTAAGTTTACCAAGCCAATTTTCCCCATTATGTGTCAAAGGACTTTCAGCTTTGTTTTCTTGATTCTAAGCATTCTCTTTAAGTCTTCCTTGTTGCTGACTTGTTCTGCCCATAGAATTCACAATAGTTCTCTTTAGAACCACAATTCTGCTCCTCTAGTTATTTCTTCATCCGTGGGGAAATTGTCCAACATTCACTGGTTCTGAGTAGAACTGTTCCTTCTGTTTCCATTTCCTTTGAGCCTTCATACTTGCTTACTCGCTTCGTCCATGGAATTCTCAGTATCCTTCTGTAGAACCACATTTCCTTATCTATCCGCATGCAGGCGGTTTGCTCCAAGTACTGGGTTATTCTAACATCATTAGAACTATTTTCCTAGAAAATAGATCCTTGTGCCATACCTTGGTAAATGATTTTGAGTAATCTATAAAACATGTGTACATCCTTCTGCATTTGTATTGCTCTCTGATCATGAATATTGCATAGCCTATTAGGATTTAAAACAAAACCTACTAATATGAGGATGATGCTTCTTGTGGGATTGAGGATTTTCCGGAATTGTGTACGCGGCCAGGCATGTTGTTTTAAATGTCTAAAAGTGCTAGAGTTATCATTCAAATGTAGAGAAAAAAAGTAAAAATTCTTGAAGCTATATACATAAAACAGTTGAAACCTAACCTGAACAAAATAAACTATGAAATCTCTACAAATATTCTTAAATGCCTATAATTTATAACAGAAGCCATTGGTTTATACCAACGGCTTCCCATACTTAATACTTAATGTGTGACGTCACGAGCTGCGATGCGATTTTCGCTTCCGCGTCTCGTATACACGGGTTTGTCGTTGCTTTGAAATTTTTCATGCAACAAAAACAGACTATCATTATTGTTTTTTCTGTGTATTGTTTGATATATTGAAATGTAATTGTCATCTTTGATAATGGTTTATGTAAGCCAAAAGCTTAGATTGGATTTAAACATGTATCAATATGGTGATTTCCTTTCGTCTTTCAATGATAATGTTATTAAGCTTATCGGACAATATGAAAGGAACTTACATATATATATATATATATCAAAGACAATAGGAAAACTGTAATATTTGCTGACGTGTTTCGTCCATTTATTAAAACAAAGTAACTATTAATAACAAAACAAAATGTTCTTAGTTATTAATAATTACTTCGTTTTAATAAATTTATTTCGTTTTTGCCTTGAAAAAGTCCACATCGGGCGAAACGCGTCGGCTAATATTACAGTTTTCCTATTGTCTTTTGCATTTATAAATATTGTCTTTTTCTACAGGTTAACTTCGAGAAATTTTTCACACACACACACACACGTATATATATGTGTGTGTGTCTGTGTGCAGATTATATTTTATATCATAAAGAAACAATTTATACAAAGAATTAAGTAGCAATGTTAATGTGATTAATGGTGAAATCACTTCGCTAACAGGACTTTTGAGACATGAACTTACTATCAATTCCTTGAATGATAAGATCCTTATATTTGAGTTGTTGTCAGATGGAAGACACATGTCAAGTACTTTCGACAATTTCAAATTGTCATCTTTAGGGCGCAATTTTCTCATACACAGGCAAACACTAAGACGAAATATGTATATATTAGTAAGATATTTTTAAATCATGTTATTTATTGACATTTGAATATAAGATTTAGAGCGTGCGATGTCGCAGCGCTAGACTTCTTGACCAATTGAGAATATTATTTGAATTTTGAAAAGTTATAAATCCAAGATATTTTCTTGTTAAAATTATTTATCTGTTAAAGTGACATGGACTTAAGCTTAATCCAATTAGTAGAGTAATAATACCTTAGTAGTTTTCCACAGAATTTAAGATTCTGATTATTACTGTGCTGAGGATTTTACAGAAATATATTAGAGTGTGTAGCTCATATTTTATATCATAAAGAAACAATTTCTACAAAGAATAATAGTATAATAGACTCCCCCGTCGTTTTCGATGTATGAGGATCTGACAGCTTAATTGATTCAGTCATGAAAGTTTGTGCGATAATCTGGCATTTAAGACCCGCTAGTGATTTACAAAGGAGGCCACAGGATTGCGGGATGAGATCACTGTTAGATCGGCTGACCTTTTAGATCTTGCTCTCGCTTCTTGAAGACGATTCAGACAAGCAGATTGAAAACTGCTGAGTCCACTAAAACACGTTGATCTCTATTCTACCCGCTCCAAGGCTAAGCGCTCGAGGGTGTTATGAGGTATTATTGACAACTGACAAGTTGCTTTTCAGCTTGTCTTTGTATTTTAGCCATAGGCGTCCTACATTCCTGTAACCTTGATCTAACTGGCTGTACATTAGGATCTTGGGTATCCCGTCATCAGACATTCCCAAGACATGACAAGTCTACCATAACTGAGACTGTATGATAAAAGTCTCGATTCCTGCAATATTACACCTGTTAAGCAGGTGTAATATTAGTAACATATATAATATATAACAGGTGTAAGTAACATATATAATAGTATATAATAATAATATATACAGGTGTTAGTAATATTGAGGGTTAACTCCACAGATGACACTCAGCTTTTATGGAAAACATCCAGCTGGCATATATGGTACATGTTTGGAGTCCACGATTCTGAGCCATACAACAGCTCTGTAAACCTATCAGAATTTCTCTATCCAAATAGAATATATATATATATATATATATATATATATATATATATGGTGTATCAAAAAATACATTTACAAAATTTGGGAGCGGGTTCCTCACATTAAAAATCCATATAAACATAAGTCCGTAAATCCTTCGTTTTTTGTGCTATTAAGTTTAAAGTTTGTGCAATAAACCATTGGTAAATGTTCTTCTCTGGTGAGTGATCAGATGACGAAGGCCCCTGCACACGTTGCAAATCATACGAATACAGGATCTTCCCTTGAAGTACCCTCCATGCGGTTCTATGAGATGTACAACATGCTAAAACCACTTGACGCGTGATGATACCTGAATCGTCCCCGACAGGCTGCAAAATGCTTTCTTCGTAGTCAGGTGTACGAGTGGATCGCGGTCTTCCTCGATCCCTAGTTTGTACCAGCACGGATCCTGTTTCACCAATGCGACGATAAACAGCATCAAAGGTTGGATGTCTCGATTTGCCTTCGCTCTGGAAACGTAATCTGCAGCCTCGCGTCCATTACCATTCACGCAGCACTATGTAAAAATCATAGCTTCCTGTACACGATATGAAAGATCCTGTCATTATTAAACGGAACACTTCTCAGTTAACTTACTACTACACACGTTGAATGTTGAAAACTGATTAGCTACAAACGTACACGAATGACAAATGTAACCTAGTCTAATGGCAACAAATTGTCCAAACTTTG